TGGGCGCTTCTCTCTTCTGCCTCCTGGGCCCGCTGCTTTTGCTTCATGAGGCGGTCACTCAACGCCTTGACTTGGTCTTCGGCGGAGGTTTTGGCTTCTTGGGCCTCGCGGCTCTGCTGCTTCGCCTTCTTCATGGCCAGCTCTTTTTCTCGAGCTTCTTTCTTGGCCTTGTTGACGGCGATCTCCAGCGAGGCGATCCTCTCGGCGGTCTCTTCATCCCGCTTCGCTCTCGCCTTCTCGGCCGCGGTATCCGCCATCTTCTGTAGGAGCTCTTTGATACCAGGGATCTTCAGCAACGTCGCCGCCGCCTCAGCGTCCTGGTCTTGCTCCTGTGTCTTCTCCGCCGCCGGCGGGGTATCCACTTCTTCCATCGACTCATCTTCTGCTGCGGGTGCCGATGTGGCTGTGGAGGGTCCAGCCATGTCCTCCCGGACTGTTACACCTCCTGGCCCATCCCGGGCTTGTTCAGTTCCTTGCCCATCCCGGGCTGTATCGATCGCCTGCCCATCCCGGGCTTGTTCTTCCCCCTGCCCATCCCGGGCTTGTTCCTCCGATTCCTCGGCCTCCATGGAGGAGGCCGGGGAAGGGCTTCGGCGTCTTGTACTCTCGCGCGCTCCCAGGTGGAAGCGTGGCCGCCACCCTCAGGCGGCTCCGAAACCAATTGTTACGAATAGGATGTGGGTGTGGGGTTCCTGCCCTCTTTGAGCCGCGGACCCGCCTCGGCGGGCACCTAGGTCCTTACAGGGCACCTAGGCGGGACCACCCCTCCTACTCCCGTATCCTAATATGGATAAAGGTTACATTGGGTGAGGAATAGTACGTGCCTTGGGCAGGGCGTCCCCCACACCAAGGGCCATTAGTAGGACGTCTCCCACATCAGGCTGGTGCGCGTAACATCAGCATTTGACATTCTTCAAGACAAGGCATTCAATCGCCCGTCCTTTGCGCAGGCCTCATCTGGACTGGGCGCATTGACGTACTTGTAAAAAAAATCTCCCATAACATGCCTCTGCTCCATTTGGACCTCCTCCTCCACTATTTTTAGAGCGTGCCACACAATTGGTTTGTTATCCATCCTGTGCTGCTCCAAGGTCTCCACATCTTGGTGGGACGCAACCCACGCCAGCTTAAAACCTATGTAACACATGACCTCAAATTGCATGAGGATCTCCGACTTCACTGCTATTGACAACTCCCTTATATCTAGCAAGGCCTAGAATGATGCTCCCACTTGTTTTGCCATATCAAATATATGGTAATCATTCTACAAGTAGGCTTCCTAGACCTTCAAAAGCGGACACTAGAGGTCGATAGTACGTTTCCAGATGCGATCCATCTCAATCCCCCCTTGCACGTTTGTCCATGATGCTTGGACCTCCGGCGTTGCTAGGCATTCAGGTTGGAATTGCTCCAACTGCCTACAGAATTCCTTCATGTCATTCAAGTCTGGGAGGGCCTGCACCTTGCGCCATTCCATGATCTGGTCCACACACGCTGGAGCACCCTCACCAGCCATGAAGAGTGCCATCATCATAATTGGTGGTTGGAGAGCTTCTTCACGCGTTGCTGGTCCTGTACAGGTACTCAAGCATAGATTCCGTATGTCCACCTCTTTCAAATATGGCTGTGCCTCAGATATCAAATCAATTAGTTTTCACTTGTCAAGTGAATCAATGATTAGACTGCCATGTTTTCTACAGTCCATTATTTGACATAAAATTCATTCCCTAAAAACTTTTTCTTTCTACAAAGTAGCTGTCCTAACCAACATTCGATTGCTAATAAAATCTTCTATCCATCTATACCGCATACACCTTCTAATGACCAACCATGCCTAATATATAGGGATATGTGAGGACGTCCGATACTGCTAGCAATATTCCCAATATGCCACCAACCACAGTCCGCACACGTATGCCTTTTGAATTATCCATGAAAGCCAACCTCTGGGTCCCCATGCCCGTCACTTCCCATCGCTCCATGCGACCCCGCCCAGGGTTTCAGGCCAATGCGTTTATCTCCCTGGGGCTCTGCCGCAAACCACTGTTGGTCAGATTGCCGGCCAGCCCTTGCTCTGTAAGCCCACTGGCTCAGATTGCTCAGCTCACCCTTATGTGCTGCGCGCGAACGTCCATGCCGTTGTGATGCCATTGTCCATGTCGGTTCAGGTCATGGCCATCTGGAGTGGGTGCAAAAATACGCAGCCCCCTCCGGCCAGAAACTACACGGGCAGGATGACAGGCCCAGGGAAGGCGGTCGAATTCCCCCGGCGGGAAAGGGCCAGGTCTGCGTAGACTATGCTCGCCATTGTGTGACTGGATCCCCCATCGCCGGCCCATGGTATCACATGGAGCCGCCCCAAACAACGATGGGCATTGCTCCGGTTCCGCACCACAGGGCCTCTCCTCTCCGGCCTTGAAACCAATGCATGTTGCTTTGGGTGTGCTTTTGCATCTGGAATGCTTAGCCGTACAGGGTTATGTGGGTGCGCCCTGGACGTTGTCATCCTGTCTGGGCTTATTTGCCATAGTCGGTAGTCTGATTTTGGCCGGTAATCTCCGTTGCCCATATGATTCCCTCTCAAGGCATCCGTCTCCAATGGCCAAGACTCCTCCGGTACTAGAGTCCTTTGCCAAGGCACTCTGGGCCTCATGGGGCCCCAGCTTGACACAACTGAGGATCGCATTTCATTATTCAATAATGCTTTCATTATTGGTGACCCGAGCACCACTCAAGACTGGATTGACTCCAGGAGCCAAAATAGGATTTGCTTCACCTTGTCTTGTGCGTAAGGGCCGTTGGCCCCTGTTATCGATCTGGGTGAAAAGACCAATGGTTTGGTTGTTTTCATTTGCATCTTCAAACTGAAATGAAATTAAGCACAATGGTGCCACCGTAATTCACTGCAATCAAATAGAAACCACCATATGCTTATGTAAACCGCATTTTCTGAGCTCCAGCTAGTAGCTGGCAACTACCCATTTATTGGATTTAAAACCAAATGAATTGAATCACTCAATCAAAATTGCTCTTGTGGTGAAAATAGATTTAAAAGAATGTGCCACACAACTACACAAGCACATATTGTATCAGTAAAAACGTTTGCATAGGAAAAATTTCGCACATTTCAAGCTCGAGCAACTGCACCAACTTCTTTCTGCTCGAACATTTTGGTAGTGCAAACTTTTCCGCCCACAAACTTTTCGGCCTCATCCAAGAGAGATCGGGCACTGCCGGCGCTTTGGCTCGTTGGCTTTGCACACTGACGACTGCCCGTTTGTGACGATCAGCCACAACCCCGAAGAAGCCCAGAGCTGACCAGCAAATCGCTCGCACAAGTGGCCATCGGCCAGCTGAATCTTGGCGGCGAGAAGATATTGTCTCTGTTGACCAGCGTTCTCTATTCTCATCCCAGTTTTCAATATTGCAAGAGCATAGCTCGGGCCCAGTCCAAAGACTACCCCAAAGGAGCCTAATCTGGCCAGCAGATCGCCATCTCCCTGACCAGGGAGGTTTATTCTCATCTCATTAAATGAGATAACTTAGAAAGTTGCTCAGTAATTGAGTAACTTGGAAACTGTTTCTAATCTTGCAAAAGCCTAGCTGGAGCTCTGCCAAGCGGCTGCCCTAAAGGGCCCTGAGCTGGCCAGCAGATCGCTCGTGCCAGGATGTCCGATCAGCGAGTATTGCCCGACAATGACGGGAAGCACCGGCGCCTGAGAATGTCTTGCACTGCCCCGGCGATGGACATGGTCGAGCTTGTCAAGCAGGTGGGATGGATTGCGAGACACAGGCGGGGCGTGTCGCTGTTGATGTTTGCGTGCTTGCTTGCGGACAACCTTAACATGAACGGGGGCGCCCTCGTTTCACTAGGAAAGAAAGGGCCAAATAACACTTTTGCGAACACACATAAAACACATTTTATCAATGCTCTGACCGTTAAGAACACAAAAATAACGCAAACCCGTAAACTTTGTACACTTTTGAACACGTGCTATTTTGCCCTTTTTCCCCTGGTGTTTATGGTGCTTGGGGGAGGGCATGCGTCAGGGGGCTGCCGGCATGTTGGCATGCATTGGAACGATGACATCCCGTCCCCGGCGATGCCGGGTCGCTGGCGTGGGGCGCCACTCCATGCAGCGCCCTGAGGAACGCAGTCAATGCGGCGTCACAGGGCTGGCTGCTGGCTCATCGCAGGCCGCTTGCGCCATTCGTTTGTGGTAGCCGGAGGGTCGCCACGGCTGCTGGGGCCTCCCAGTGGGGGGCGGCACGGCACAATAAGAAACAGCGCCACCTGTGGCGAAGGTCAAGGGTTGCAGGAAGCCCCACTCTGCAATGTTCGTGCAGCGGAAATTTTTGCGGGTGATAAAAGTTTGCGGTGGGAAAAAGTGCGCTCACCAACAAGTGCACGAACTTTTTCCCTTGCGAACTTTCTTCTGCACAAAATACGCCTTATTTGCATGAACTTTTTTCACTTATACACTAAGTCTTAGGTTAATTGAAGTGCAATTTAAATGATTTAAATATGTTTTGTGGTTTACAGCGTTGAATTCAACATCAAAAACAGGAACTATTGGGGTTGAAGAAAACCAACTCCAAAATGTTTATCCATAAAATTGACCGTCAGATTGAATGGCTGGTTTGTTGATGGGCAGAATTCCATCGCTGCTATCAAAGGACGCAGAGGACGTGACCCACAACAGGTCATCCGTGTCGCTCACTGCCTGCTGGATTGACCGCTTGCTTGATTAGTTGATAAAGCGGTCCACTACTTTATTGATTGACTGATTGATTAGTTGATGGACAGATTGATTGATTAGCCGGATCGTTGCTCCGCAGAACTCCAGCACGGCGGCGACATCCCAGCGACGCGACCAGCCACGCCTTAGCCGTGTCGCGCACGGCACCCGCGTCCTCACATAAGCCGCCATGCCGCGCACACCGCCATATCTCCACCCGCGCTGGACGGGCCACAGCTCGAGTCCACAGACCCCTGCACCATGGCCACTGTCGCTGCCGCCCATCACCCCCCCTGGAGGCGCTTCGAGCAGAAGGAGGAATTCACGGACAGGATTCGCAACACGCTGCAGGATTACAATTGCGAGAGCTGGGGCGCTGGCGGCGTGGCGCAGGAGTTCCTGGCCAACGCGGACGACGCAGGGGCCAACAGATTCGCGCTGATTTACGACGGGAGGACGCACGGCACCGCAAACCTGTTGTTTCCCGGGTTGGCTGAGTGGCAAGGCCCGGCGCTGTGCTTCTTCAACGATGCTAAATTCAAGAAAGGGGACTGGGCGGCCATAAGCGAAGTGGGCATCAGCCAGAAGAGGGAGGACGACAGCAAGATTGGGAGGTTCGGTCTGGGAGCGCTGACAGGGTGCGTGCGGTGGAATTGCTGCAAGCTGCGTGTCTCGGAATGTTTCGAAGTTTCGGAGCAGCGCGAGTGTTCCCACCTCGCGGCGCACTCGGCTGCGTGCAGGCCTGCACGCCTAGGCCTGGTCTGCGGGGTCTCGAGGCAATCGCCGCTGTCGGTTTGCAGTGAACGTTGCAAGTCGTGTACGAGGGGGTCAAGATGCAAAGCAGCCGATGTGATCCTGTCTGAAAGCGGACCCGATTTGCCGCCGCCAGCGCTGCATGCAGCATTCGTGCTTTGCGATCATGCCGTGTGACTGTATAGTCATGATATACCATCGTGCCAGGACGCTTAGAGCGCCTCACTGACTGGACAGCGCGAAGGTGCATTCGGCTCAGAACTGTGCGCAGTGAGCGTAGCCTAGCGGTCTGTAAAAGGGTGCTCTTGTGAGGCATACCCCTCGAATTCGGTGCAACATCAGGCGCAAAAAGGGGATTCGGATGTCTCCTGTGTGCACGCGTCACTCCGATACGCATCGACACCAGAATCGCCAGGATCATCCCATCGACAGGATCACCTCATCATCAGGATTACCGCATCTGCGGTGATCCTGGTAGCGAAACCTTCGCATGTACTAATTGATGATCTTTTCGGCACAGTCGTGCGATGGCCCTCGCTGCCCGATGCACGGGACGGTGCGAACCGGCATGGGCCACAGGCGTCATATCACGACGGAACAGGGACGTAAAGCTGTTGAGTGGCTCTTTAACTTTCGAGTGCACCCAATTCGTGTGGTGCACTGTGGGGCGGGAAGCCTCAGGAAAGTCTCGCGGTGTCCTTTTGTTCCGTAATCCAATCACGTCGTCCGCAATATTTTGTAGATGCATCATTTATCGCAGTTAAGAAATGACCGGTTTGTGGAACCTTTTCCCAACGGCCACTAATTGCTTCACCGTGGCATGTGCGCAGGTATTGCTGCACAGATGTCATTCACATTGTGTCGGAAAGTACTTTTGTCATTCTGGACCCCCACGGGTCCTACCTCGACGGCGGGCCCGGTATTGAGCTGGATTTCGAAGAGCAGGAAAAGGCACAAATGAGCAAAATTTACGACACGCTGTCGCCGCTCGACGTCCTGGGTGGCTTTGAGGTATGTGTGTGGAAATTTTGTTGCATTCCCGTAATTGCTAAAGCGCGGCCCTGGCATATAATATGTTAGGCTGGGTTACTGATTGGATCCAATCTCGGTATTCCCGAAGCGATATCTTGATCGCTTATCACCTGCCGGGCCTGAAGGCACGAAGATATGAAAACCTCTTCATTCATTGTGCTCCACGCAAGATGCCGTTTGCCACACCGTATGCTTAAATCAGATTATTGAATCTTGTGTCAGTAATTGTGTTTCTGAAATTATTCATGAAGATGATATTGGTTTTATCAGCAGCTCATCCTCATGTTGAGGCTTCAGAGGCATCACAAGCGCATTCGAGTTGCGGTGCTTTGCGTTTAAGATTCATTGCACTTCCGAGCGTGTAAGTTACACCAGTTGTACATGATTTCGAGACTGTTTCTGCAATCGTACCTGCAATTTCCAATCCACTGCTGTACTTTGTGCAGGTGGAAAAGAAGCATTTTCCAGGTACACTCTTTCGCCTTCCGCTGCGCACTGAGGATACTGCCCCAAAATCGAGAATATTAAAACACGTCGTGCAGCAGGAAAATGTGGACAGATTGCTTTCCGACTTCATTAGAAAGGCGAAGGACATGATTCTGTTCACCAAGCACGTTGAAACAGTGGAAGTCTATGTGCGCTCCGAAGATGGCCCACCATCGCTGCTGGCAAGGGTGAAGGCAAGTGTAACCAACAGCTTTGGTATTTTTGTTGGTGCTCTGTGGAGTGCCATGATATTTTCTGTTGGGATTTTGGCAAGCAGCGGATGATCCGAGAATGCGATCTCAAAAAGTGCATGCATGTCATTGACGTTTCGTTGTTCGCGCTGTAAATGGTTAGTCGATGTCTTCGTATTTCTTAAACCCCTGTTGATTCAAGGCATTGGATTGATGTTGAAAATTTCCACAGTTTTAAAAGTCCATTGAACATGCATATCCAGAGCATATGCTTTTTAGTTTCCAATGGCATTCCTGGCAGGACTGTTTGTTCTTGCGAAATGGAGCAGGTGCTGTCAGAAGGAAAGCATTCATATAAATCTGGTGATGGCTGGGGCACACTTCTCTTCTTTTTCCACTTCTTCAAGCTTTTCACATTAATTATGACTCACTACCACGATTAAATACTGAATGCAATCTGCGAACAGTACTGTTCGCGAACAGTGCTTTGGGCCAATGCAGCGCTGCCATCATACAGGAAAACTGTACTATTTGAGTGGGGCGACACAGAAAATAAGTACCCTTCGCTTTTGGAGAATTGTACGAGATGTGCACCTGGTTGAACAGCGATTCGATAGAAAGGGAGACGGCGCTCAGGGAAACAGACACATTCTCTTTCATGATACCTTGCGCATACATATTTTGGGTTCACTTTGCAGTAACATCTTTGGTGCCTGACTCCCACGCCTGGGAATTTTGTTGCACAGATACACGGTGCCCACAGCCACAACGCCGCATTGAGAATTGAGCTGCCCTCGCGCAATTATCTGAATCCGTGAACTCACTCTGTCTTCTCAGCAACAGCTATCATTTGCTCTACGCTTCGCAGCATCATGATATTGCACTGCGGTTATACGCTGCCGTGTAAATGTCACTGTGGATTCCGCAATTGTAAGCACAACAAAATCGCCATTGGTGCTGCAGAAGTCCTCAGAAACTAGAGATCCAGGGTGCGTTCGGGCGTATCACAAGTCGAAGACGCTGCGAATTGTTGTGGAAGCCGCGGGTTGCTACTCGGACGACAGTGTCAGGCCTATTGATTGCCGGTGCTGCCGCAAGAGGGAGGTAGAGAATTGGCTTGTGGTCTCAAGCTTCCCAGATGAGGTGAGGCGGATGTATCTCCCTGACGCGAAGTGTTTCGAAGGGCCGGTGCGTTGAGCCGAATGCTTTGCCAAGGGAGCGGAATGAGAGGCTCTGCTTCATGAATCTCTTGCTACTGGATCTCTGTGATCGCAATGCAGCTGTCGTGCATTGATCAAACGAAGCTGTATCTGTGCAATGGGTATTTCTGCAAATAACTTGAACTGTTTTTGTCCATTCTATATAAAAATTGATTTGTGTAAATTATTGGAAATATATCTGATTGGTAGTACCAAGCCACTCAGCAATTTTTTGCCTGGCAATTTCATTGATATAAATGCATTTCAATATCCCTGTAAACACCATCAGAGTCGCAAAGATTCACAATGCTGTTGGCACCGATGTAAATTCAGCGCATTAATTTCTGCCACCGGCAGACTTACACCTTTGATCATTAATTGTCAGATAGGAGAGTCAGGTACCGTTTGAAATTTCGTTTCCTAAGTCGCTCAGCCGCGAAGGGCTCACAGGGCCAACTTTCTGGGTAGCGAAAACATCTGCAGCGCTACGCTTCACAGTCAAATGGTAATAGTACTGTGCGTCTTTATAAATTTCCCATCGATTCATCATCATGATACTTTGCATGAAAATTGCTGCGTCTTTCCTTATTTTTGAAATAAGTTATTCCTTGTGAAATTTTGGTGCATCGTGCGGGTTTGCAGTAATACAGTGGTGCGCTGTGTCTTCCCCAACTTTGTGGCAGTCTATTCTCTCAAATTTTTTCGATGTATTGCCTGGATTCACCACCGACTTTTCACCCATGCGCCCAACACAGTGCGCCTCTCCCAGTGCGGAAGTCGCCGTGAAGACAAGATCTATTGTCTTCGACGACTCCGGAGCGGTGCTGCGTAATGTGGTCTTGCCGACGTTGAAATCCGGTGGCCTTATGTACTGCTTCATGCCCCTACCCTTCACCGAGACGGGTCTTCCCATTCACATCAATGGGAAATTCCGCTTGCAGTCCAACAGAAGGAACCTTTGGTCAGGTAACAAAAATTTTCGAATTTCTCCGTTTCAGACGTGAATTTTCTACCCGAATTATTAGGCGCTTCAAATAAAGTATGAAAACATTTAGAAAGATGAAATAAGGGCCAAAAATGTCTTCAGATTCTTACGTACGGCATTTCATTTTCGCAACTATTGGATTGCAGTGCACAGCGTAACAAAATCTCCAGAATATAATCACTACATGCTGGAGATTCGTCAATGTTTTTGGTTGTTTGTATGTGCGTTTATTCTCAAAGCCTGGCTGCTTGGAGCTACTGGAGGGGACATCGCATTTAAGTAGTATTAACTTGAGGCTTCTTCTTTCTGGACTGCGAATTTAATAAATGCAATCAATGGTATCGGAAATTGTTTTAGGCGCGTTGCGATGAGCTGCAAGATCATCTAAGGCGGCAAGTATCATCACTTGAAGAAAATTTGACGTAGCGACAATATATAACTCATCTGGGGGCTGTGGCTGTACATAAATCGCAGATCATTTCTTTGATATTGAAGCTGATCAGCCACAATCCGAAGCACAATTCATGCTTTCCATCAATTTCTATAGCAACCATGTTAGCAAGCTGTCGCTTTTTTTTCTGTTCATTGTATATATCCAGTACTGCAATAGACACTGAAAATGAGCGACAAATATTGAGCGAGATACCATGAGAACATTATGTATTTCAGGGATTCGTTTCAGAATCATGCGAGTGTCTGTGTCGATTACCTGTGGGTGCTCGGCACGCAAATTTGCGGTTACCACAAGGGTATGCAAATAGAATGTATTTTACTAGTCTCTCTTCATTTTAAATACCAAATACGTTAATTTGACCCGAAATTCTGGAACTGGAATCGCAGTGTGATATCGGATTGCAGCATGTACCTTCAAATTTTTGGTTGTTCTGTATATCACGCTACATCTGCGCTTCGCGCACACTTGGAACTTGAGTCGTGATTTGTATGGAGCAGATGTTCAGGACGAGGCTGGGATGCTCAATCTAGACATCATAAGAAAGGCAGTTGTACCGCTGTGGCTGGATCTGCTCATGGCCTGCCGGCATACAGATATGCGCGGTACTTTATCCGAGAATGAAATGCTTTCAAGGTAGGGTTTTCAAAATATATCTGACCATTAATTCTCATTGAATGATATCACGATGATTTACTCGGCGTTGAAGAAGAGAATTTGCTGCACCGCGAATTCGATCGTCTCGCGCTATTTGACTCTCATGCCTTGCATGCTAAGGCTATGGATCACCATGCACACCGCATTCTCCAAGTTACAGACGTTTAAAACTTGTTCTAGCGATAGGAACAATCAAACTATGCGCCTTCAGGGATATCTCTTCATACAACTTTCGGTCCATTTCAAGCCATCACCATTTGCAGATGACATGGCGTTTGCAATACGGATTTGAGGTATTTTCAATTGCAGCATAGATGGTTTTAAAAACTTCCGCATAGTAGCACAGCGCTTAGCTTTGCGGAGAAAACACTAAAATAAATAACGCTCTTCAAATATTATTTGAACACCTGCGGTGTTTGCACCGCGAAAGCTCAATTCAATATGATGATGGCGCGATTGCTCCCATTCCACAACGCCATAATGATGAAATAGAATCAAGTATTTTCTTACAAAATTGTCGTCAAGATAGCACGGAATTAGGAAAACGAAAAATACATATAGCTCACGCAACCATGCTCACTCGAGTGGTGCATATGTGCACACGCTTCTGCTGCAAATCGTGTGCCAAATCGCAGGAAGCTTGCAAACTTGCAAATGTGGCACCCTAAACCCCAAACCACATACCCACAACCACTTTCTTATGGGAGAGAGCAAGTGCCAAGGCTGTGCTCCAGGACGCCCGCCCTAAGGATGTCAACACACCTTTTTGAAGTGAAAGGTCTCGGCGATCGACCCGTTGGATCGATCGCACTAAACAGAATTGACCTTTCCCTGCCACACCCCACACCCCACAGCCCACCCCACCTGTTGTGCGTACACTTGGGGCTAAGGCAAACTGGTCATTCTGGGTGTTTTCTTGTGTTTTATGTGCTTTTGGGTCAGTATGGACCGGTGGGTGGGGCTGGGCGGTGAACTACTGTATAAGTAAAAAAGTTCGCGCATTTCGCGCTCGAGCAACTGCGCGAACTTTTTTCCGCGCGAACATTTTGCCCCCGCGAACTTTTTTCGCCCGTGGACTTTTCGGCCTCCTCCCAAATGGGTCGGGCGCTTCCCGCGCTGTGGCCCGTTGGCCTTGCACAACAGCGACTGCCCCGTGCGGTGGTCTTTTGACGAACAGGGACTGCCCCGAAGGAGTCCTGAGCTGGCCAACAGATCGCTCGCGCCGGTGGCCATCGGCCAGCCGAATCTTCGCAGCAAGGATGTGCCATCTCCCTGACCAGGCGGCTCTATGCTCCTCCCAGTTTCTAGTCATGCAAAAGCCTAGCTCGAGCCCCGTCCAGCGACTGCCCCAAAGGAGCCCTGAGTTGGCCTGCAGATCGCTCGCGCCAGATCGATCGCTGGTGGGCATTGGCAAGCCGAATCTTGGCGGCGAGGAGGTGCCATCTCCCTGACCAAGCCGCTCGTGCTATTCGTCTGCGGCACCCGGAGGGTCAGGACGGCGGCCGGGGGGCGGCGCAGCACAATAAGAAACGGCGCCACCCTTGGCGAAAGTCAAGGGCGGCAGGAGCCCGATTCCGCAATGTGCGCGCGGCAAAAACTTTCGCGTGCGAAGAAAGTTCGCGGGGGAAAAAAGTTCGCGCACCGACGACTGCGCGAACTTTTTTCCGCGCGAACTATTTTCCGCGCGAAACACGCGAAATTTTTTCCACGCGAACTTTTTTACTTATACAGTAACAAATACATTGGAGTTCATTTACAATATAATTGTGGTTGTTGTAGTACTTCCCGCGTGGGGACCGAATATGCTGCCCCGCGGGAAGCTGTGTGAACCTGTTCCCGTGGGTTTTGTGCCCGTTCCGCCTCCGCGCCTCCACCGGACGCCAAGCAGCCGCCCGGGGCCGATCCCCAAGCGAAAGCCAGGCCCACCTCGCAACGAACGGGCGCTTGCCCCGCCAAGCCCGCGGCGCATCCGCGGAGGTAATCGGTGGTCAATCCACCAGCCATCGGGCAAGGAGGCGCCCAAGATCCGGACCAATCGCGGTGCCCATCGGCCGCGACACCACCCCACATCCCAACGCCACTCGCTTCCAGTCGGCGGCCAAGGAGGCACCTCAAGGCGCTGCAGTGAGGCCGCCAAGCCTCTTTGAAGTGAAAGACCACAGCGATCAACCCGTTGGGTCAATCGCCAAGGACGCAATTTTTGAATTCGAACATGCCCCCCCCCCCCCCACCCCCCACATCCCCCATCCCCACCTCCACCTTCCTAAACTGCTGCTCGTTCTAGTCTATGGCGAAAAGGTGCCAAGAGGGACTTCCAAGCGGCCGACCAGCTTGGTCGAAGTGAACATCCCAAGGGTTGTGTCGATTGCCATCAACAGATTTTTCGATTTGGCCCCCCTCAAACCCCACTTCCCCCCGCCAACGTGGCTCGAGCCAATGCCGTAGGCGATGGCAAATGCCACCGCCGGCCACTCGCCCATGTGCCGCCTGGGTTCACGCTACCCGCTGCACCTCCCCTGCTTGCCA